ATCAATCAACGCACTCAGGAATTGCGTTGCAAGACGCTGTGGCGCATGATTCAGAAAGAGTACAAGGACCGTTTGCACACCCGAACCCTAGAGCACACGCAATACATGGTGAGTATTCATGATAGCTGCATTACCTTGCAATGCACATCGCATCACAACGCAGTAGCACACTATATAATATAACTGGTGAAGCTGTGTTCGCCGTGTCCCCAGGACCAACAGATCGACCGTAAGCTGCCCCAGCTCAAGCTATCTATGTTTAAGCCGCCATCGACTGTAGACTACCCTTGCCTCAAGTCGAAGGCAGCAGTATCGCGCGCCCTCGTTGGGCCGATGACGGCTGTGTGTGAGAAGGTGCTCGCGGTAGGTTCGCACGTCACGAATGCTTACAGGCTCATGCGGGATTTTTTAAGCCTTTGCCAGAAATCTGATCTGGTCCCCACTCAGAAGAGGGCCGACCTCCTCCAGAAAACGATGGAGCAATTTCTGGCTTCGTACACGTGCGCCGCCCAGAGGCAGGCCAAGAGCAGTCTAGCTGGCTTCAATCTAACGATGAAGTTTCATTTCTCGTCCCACATTGGCGACAATGCCAAGTGGGAGGTTCCAACGTTTAGCACTGAGTACGAATTCGAGGACATGGCAGGCAAAGTTGCGCGCACCTCCAGCACGTGCACAGTGTCGCTCCCTCCAGATAGGGTTGCCCAAAAAGTGATGGCAAAGCTGTTGCTCGTCGCGCGCTTGTCTGTGACCAGGGCTTCCAGGCGTGCTTAGGGGCTCGCCATAGATCTGCGGTGACGGCATACTGGTATAATGATATAGTGATATAGCGGATGGGGAGGAGGGGGCGAGGATTAGCATTAGGGAGGGGGCGAGGATGGATATATGGAGTCGGCATGGCGACAAGAAGGCTGGCCGTCGGCGCGGGCAGGGCGGGCGGCGGCCTGCGCAGATATCTCGTCGCCGAGCTCGGTGTCCAAGTCCAACGCGGGCGGCGGGGGACGGGCCCGCACCATACGTGTCGGAATGCCATTCGGATTCCCGAAATGGCCGCCGCCGCCGCCGTCGTCGTCGTCGCCGCCGCCGTCGTCGTCGTCGACGTCGTCGCCGCCGTCGTCGTCGCCGTCGTCGTCGTCGTCGTCGTCGTCGTCGTCGTCGTCGACCCTCTCCGTCGGCAGCCCCCTCGTCGCCACGTCTGGGCGCAGCTCGAATAACTGCGCTCCACCTGGGCCCATCTCACTGCCGCCCGACTTGCATGCCAGTGAAATTTTACGAGGTTCGCCTGCCCTCGAGCTGGTAACTTGTTTTCAGTGCGATCTTGCTGGGCCAGTTTTTCGCTTGCTCTCTAGCTGGACCACTGCTCGCTGCTCTCCAGCTCGACTGGGGATCGGTAACTCGGTCCGCTGCGCCCTCGTCCTGAAAGAACGGTTACTCGTACTCTGCGTCATCGTCCTCATAGTTTTTTATTTCGAAGCCAAGGGTTGCATCCTCGTCGCCGCGGCTGAACGGGCCTCGGAGTACTCTGGCACTTGGGCCCCGCGAGGGGCCACGGACGCCCGAATTGGCTGCCGCCGTGGTCGTCGGCGTCGTCCGTCGTCGTCGACCCCCCCGTCTGCGGCTCCGACTGCTCTGGGAACGGGGCGGGGATCCAGGGGGAGGATGGGATGGGGCTCGAGCGGGAGGAGGGGGCGGACTGGGGAGAGGACGGAGGAGGACGATGAAGAGAAAGTCAAGGGGGAAGAGGGGGCGGCAGAGGGGACGAAGAACGAGGAGGAGGACGCCGATATTCCTAACGCTTCGCGTAACCCCATCAGCCAATCCAGAAACGATTGCGACGATAGCTACGTGGGCAGGCAAGGAGAGAGACACATTCGTAGTTAAACGCCGCGGTGATTAAATTATGGATGTCGTAATCACTGCGGGTCCTCATCCCCCATTTCGCTCCGCCTCCTCCTCCTCCTCCTCCTCCTCCTCCTCCTCCTCCTCCTCCTCCTCCTCCTCCTCCCCCTATCCTACCCCCCCATCCCGATTCCCTCCCCTCATCATCGTCTCCCCCCCATCATCGCTCCTCCCGCCCCCCTCCCCAACCCCGCCTTTCGCGCTCCTCCCGCCCGAGCCCCCGCCGACCTCTCCCCCTCCCCCGAGCGCGGCGCGCATTTTCCGAGGCTGACGCCGTTCCGCCGACCCTTTAGATTTAGGGGATTGTTGTAGATGCTTTTTTTTTGCGGCCGCGCGCGCGTCCCGCCAATCGGCGGGCGCGCGCGCGGCCCGCCGCTGTCACGCGCTGCGGTGGAGGCGCCTCGGGGTGGTTTATGCCAGAGAGACAATGCCGATCGAGGGGGAGGGCGCTTTGCCCTCCCCCATCACCCTCCCTCTCGCCGCCACGAGGGCGGCTCCATGCTGGCGAGCATATACGCGTACACGAACCCGCGCGTCATCTCCTTCCCGCTCCACGCGCACGAGCGCGCGCGCGCCCCTTTTCCACCCCCCCCTCCCCCATCCTTTCCCCCCTATCCCTTCCCTCCCTTCACTCCCTCACTCCCTTCACTCCCTCCCTCCCTCCCTCCTTCCCTCCCCTTCTCCCTTCCCTCCCTACCGCCTCTCCCCCCGCCCTCCGCCCATCCGCCGCCTTCTCCATTGATATTGGTATTGATATTGATATCGATACCGATATTGATATTGGTATTGATATTGATACTGATATGGATATTGGTATTGATATGTTGTTGCTGATGTTGATATTGTTATTGGTGTTGATATCAACAATGATATTGATATTACATACCTCTGGGTATTGATACCCGTGCTGATATCATGCGGCCGATATCGTTTTGTACGCGGGGCGCGGAGGGCATTTTTGAGATCTCAAAAATATAGGCCGCTATCATTTTGCAGCCCGCGCAGTGCGGGATATCAAAATATGGGTCTTGATATCACGCAGAGATATTGATATCGCTTAAATTGAGATTTGGATGCTTTGGGCCCCTAGCACGGCCCTGGGGAAGGGCGGACAGGACAGGGCCGGGCAGCAGGACGGCCCCGCGGGGCCAGGCCAGCGGGCGGCCCCCAGGACCCAGGGCGGGACGGACCAGGCGCACACGCGGGGGGAGGAGGAGGGCCCAGCCAGGACGGGCGAGGGGGCGGGGACAGGGCCAGTGGAGGGCAGGCCAGGGGCCGGGGGTCCCAGGAGGGGTGCGCCGCCCGTCCCTGCTTCCCCGCTCTGGCTACACTGGGGGGTCCGAGCGGCGGCCTCCGCCGCCGCCTCCAGCCGGCGCGCCTCCGCCGGCGTGGGGGGGCTGTGCGCCCAGCCCGCAGACGTCGGCCCCGCGCGCGCCAGCGCCGCCGCGGCCGCGGGGCACTGCTCCAGGTGGGCCCTGGGTCTCCAGCGAGGCGCCGCAGAAGCGGCACGCGGCCCCGCCCCAGTGGCCTCGCGCAGGAGGGCGCCTGGCAGGGCAACGCGGGCCCGCGCCGGGACCCCAAGCAGCGTGGCCCCCTCCCTGCGCGCTGAGCTCCGCCGCCGTGGCCCCGCTGCCCGCGGCTGGCGGCCCCCTGTGCACTGAGGTCCTCCGCAGCCCCGTGGCCCCGCTGCTGCTGCTGCTCCTCCTTTTCCTGCTCCTCCTCCTCCTCCTCCTCCTCCTCCTCCTTTTCCTCTTCCTCCTCCGCCTCTTCCTCCTCTGTCGCCAGCTGGATAGCCTCATCGGCCTACGTCTTGGTTTCTCCGGACCGCGCCGACGAGCTCACACCCGCTCCTCCGCCCGTCTTCGCACCCAGGTCGCTTTCTCCAGGCCACAGGCCTCGGGGCGCAGGGGCTCCTGGCGGAGTGCCCTGGCCATCGTTCCTGGCGCGCGGCCCAGGGCCAATCGAACTCGAAGTAGCGGAACGGTCGGGGGACAACGCAGATTCTACCAATGCTGCTCTCTACTCCTTTTCGTCATCGCCCTCCGAATGTGAGGAGGGGGACGACGGATGATGCTGATGCTGATGATGATGCTGATGATGACGATGCTGATGATGCTGGCTGGCTATGATGATTATAGTCATGACGATGATGATGGTGATGATAACGATGATGATGCTGATGCTGATTATGATGATGGTGATGATGAGGGTGGTGATGTTGGTGATGGTGTTTCTGCTTTTGTTGATGGTGATGATGGTCATGCTGGTGATGGTAATGCTGATGTTGATGATGGTGATGATGTTGATGGGTCGGAGGAGGAGTAGGAGTAGGAATAGGAGGAGGAGGAGGAGGAGGAGGAGGAGGAGGAAGGAGGAGGAGAGGAGGAGGAGGAGGAGGAGGAGGAGGAGGAGGAGGAGGAACGGGACGTTTTTTGCGGGCCTCGGGGCCCAAATATCAAACAGAGAGGGGAGCAAACGTTACGGAACAGAACCCGCCCTCGCATTGTTTGTGTTCGCGACGACTGGGGGCCCGGGTCGGCTGATCGGCTTTCGCTCCACGTCAAGCGACGGACACCTCCTGTCGGACAGGAGGTGTCCATCGATTGACGTTGTGACCTGTCCTGGACATGACCTGTCCTGGCCAGCTCTCCGAACTGCGCCGGGACAGGACAGGACCTGTCCTGGCCAGCTCTCCTGTCCTGCGGGCCAGGACAGGACCTGCCCCGGCCAGCTCCCCGAGCTGCGCCGGGCCACTGCCACGACGAGGGCCCCCGCAGATGGCCCCCCCCACACGGGCAGGAGAGGCATCGAGGTCCTGTGCGCCCGCCCCCTCCCCCTCGTGCCCCTCGATGTGGCGCTCCCTCTGCGTGCGGGGTCTCGAGAGTCTTGCTCGGAGCGCCGGGCATGGCTTTTCGAAATCGTGGGATGGCCTCGGCGGGGCCGTGCGCCCCCCCTTCCTCTCCCAAGCCATCCCAAGCCCGCCCACCAAACTCACCGAAAGCAGCAACAATGAAGCCCCCAAGAGAACAGCAGAGGAAGCACAATTCAGGGCCAGCCACCCTCCCCCAACCCGACGCCCAGGCGTGGCCGCTGGGGGCGTCCAC